CCTCATTCTATCATACAATCCTTCAATTTCGGGTCAACACACATAATGTTCACACATCACGGCACTTGACCTACATTACATTTCTTAGCAATTTCCTACCCACTAACTCAGCCACAACATCATATTTAGCAAAACAACAACAATTCATGCACAAAAGAGTAAGATAGAGTCCCTCCCTTACCTTGGATTGACGTCCTATGTGCTAAATCCACCAAGAAATGCTCCCCTTCACGAATTTCATCCTAAACACATGGAGAAACTCCATAAGAACCCAGGGGAAACACGAAAACAGAGAAAGGGGATGAAAAACTAAAACCCTAACCATTAAATATTACCTCCAAGCGTTCCCCACACGGATTCAACCTTCAATCAAGCTCCCGAACGACTTTGGAGGCAATTAATTGGTGGAATAGGGCTTTGGGAACGAGAGGATCAAAGGAACTTCGAAGGGAGAGGGAGAAATAACTCTCCCCGAACCCTAACCCCCTTTAAATCCTTTTCTGGTCGCGACATTCTCGCTACAGCCAAAAAAATCAGAGAAAACTGTACTCTGGTTTCTACAGAATCTCGCTACAGCAAGACTGCACCCAGAAATGCACCCCAAACTGTCGCTCTCTCTCTACAGCGAGAAGGCGACAATTCTGATCCTTCCTCCCAGGGCCCTCTCGCTACAGCGAGAATAACCCAGTATCACATCCTGCACTTAGGCACTTAGCCTATTTCAGCTCAACTAGTCATGCATACACCCATCTACATATATATATATACATATTCACAACATATATCTAAAAATACACACATGAATATACATTTAGATTTATATAATTATCCATAATTAATATTACATTTCTAATACTTTTATATTCTATAGTAATGACTGTTAGTTATATAAGCTTACCCTTACATTTGTCTGTGTCGGTGTGTATGTGTGTTGTGATGATTGTACAGTGGTATGTGAGCAGGTGTGACAGGTGAAACATCTACTTTTCATGCTAGAAGGTCAGGCTGAGAAATGCGTGGAGTCAAAGTGCTTTTGTGAAGATTGTAGCTTTATTATTTATTTTGTTAGTTTAGGTCTTAGTAGTAGGTCTAGACTATTTAGCTACATGTCTAGCAACTCTGATGTAAATACTGTTAATGGATAATTATATATAATCAAATTAAAAATTTTATTATAAGGCCTTGTTTTATTACTGAATGTTGGACTTTCACGTTTTGTTAAATTTTAATTCTCTTTCAAAATGCAAAAATTTTATACTGAAATAAAGGGCTTAACATGTCATAGATCTTTTCTAAAAAAGGAATCAAGGATGTTGGAATTTGGTGGTGCATTGCCTAGTGCTGCTTCTACACCTGAAAACATTCTCTAAAGCTTCTCTATGCATTACATAATCAATAAATTTAAGACGCAACTGAAAAACTCACAAAGAAAAGAGAAAAAATTTTAGGTTCAAGAGGGAAAAGGTATAGATGAGGGACAAGAGAAGGCATCTAAAAGAGAACATTTTTATTAAAGTTTTAAGGAGGAGGGAAATAGGTAGTGGATGCATGAATAAGAAGTCAAAAAAGAAAGAGAAAAAAATGCAATTGAAAAATAAGAGAAGAAAGAATGATTTAGCCAAAGTTCATAAAGAGGAAGAAGATGAATAATGATTAAAGTTAACGTTGATTTATTTAAAATATTTTTGTAAGTTAAGTGATCAATCAAAATTAGGGTAAAAAAAAAAATTTTAAAATAAAACTAGAACAAAACTAAGAGTTAAAAGATCAATATATTAATTTAGCTATATTTTATCATTAAATACTTTTTTTATTATGCATGTATGTATAATCATTAATATTTAAAATGGTTTAAAATGACTGATAAATGCACTACCGTTTTTAAGAATTAAATTTAATAATATATATATATATATTGGAGTAGGATATTTTTACACTGGTATGAGTTTAAAAACTTTTATGTTTGATTTGAGTCTTTCATTTAACTTATATCTAACGTGTTAAATTTTTTTTAATCTCAATTGTTATTTCTAATGTTAAAAGTCTAAAATTAATAAAAAGTGTAATAAAATGTTTATAATTAACAATGACAAATTAAAAATTATTTACTTATGTCAAGACTAATATATATATATATATATATATATATATATATATATATATATATATATATATATATATATACTGTAGAGACTAAATTGAAACGTATATACAATATAAGAACTAAATTATAATTTAACCTAAACATTTTATTTGAGGATGCCTGGCCTTGAAATGTATCACGAACATCAAGCGTCTGCATTAAATATGAAAGTGGATTTGTCATCCTTACTTCGTAACTATTGAAATTAAAGAGAACATAAGGGTAATGGATTGAATGCAGAGATGATTACACAAAAGCAAGAAACAATGAACAAAGGCAGAATTGTTTGGTTGGAGCTGACTCAAAGCAATCTTCATCGTAGACAGAAGGTATAATATACCAAATTTGTAAAAAGAAAACCTAACCTTTAGATGAGTAAAGAAACCGAATGCTTATTGCTATTTCAAAATTTTTGTAGAAGTATTTGATAATTTAAATTTTTACTGTAAAACGAAAAATTTAATTGTTATACACAAGGAAATTTATGTAAGATTTTAAAGATAAATGAAATTTGTATAGGAAGTCAGATCCTGTAATTTGTAAAGGTATTTTTTGCCTATTGTAATTAAAAAGTTATGACCATTGAGGCTTAAACTAGGTATTTAGTTTAGATATTGAATTTTAAATTGAGGTTTAAATTAACTTGAGCACAGTATATTTAAAGGAGAGTACATAAAAAATTTTAATTATTAGTTATCATTAGTAAGAAAAAATCTTTTAAATCAATAAATTTTATATCAGAGAACTGATGTAAATATAATCAATATAAAAATATAAAATTTTTTATAACCGTTAATAATTGATGTAAAAATATGTTACTTTTCAAGTATGAATAACTAATATGGAAAATAATTTTTTTATTAATTTTTGTCAATGCATCAATATTCTTTTAGCAAACAATTTTTTAATTATATCAATGTTTGTTAATATTAATAGCGTTAATTTTCTTTTGTTAATATTTATTAATAATTTAATTTTGATTAAAAAATATATAATATCTGTCGTTATTGTTTACTTAAGATTTTATAGTTAATGAAAAAGAAAATACAAAATGAGGTAAAATAAAATTATTATGTATCATTCCTATTTTTATGTAATAATATCTTCATAATTATGTTATTAAGTTTTAAATAATTAATTTAAATATTTATAGATATGATACCCAAAAATTAATGTAATGAAATATTTATCATTTTAATTTTGTCTAAAATTTTATAAATGTGACCTCTTTAGTAAAAACTTTTAAGCAAATCGCATAAGATATTTATATTAAAACAAATCACATGTAGACTTGAATTGATAAACAATCAAACACTACGCCAAAAATGAGATAAGAAAGTGATTCTGTTTTAAATTGGCTAGCGTTTAGAACTGCACTAAAATTTTGTGCTATCCAATATATTACATTTAAGAGAGCGGTTAAATAACTGCTCTCAAATGTTAAGATTAGAGAGCAGTTCCGCGTGGAACCGCTCTCCAAAGTATGGGTGTAAGATTAGATAGCGGTTCAACGCAGAACCGCTCTCCAAAATATGAATTTAAACCGTGAATCTGAAATTTGAAATTTATTTATTTGCGAGTTTTCTGTAGCAAACTAAAATTAATTTATTGTTACGTTTAAATTTTAATTTACAAGTCTGACAATTAAAATTTCTTCATTTTTATCACAAATCAAAATTAAATATTGAGTTCATACGCTATGTTAATCAAAAGCCATATCTGCACAAATCAAATAGTAAATAGAGAAAAAGAAAACAAATTAATAAGATAATTTACCATTAACAAAGAGAAAATGAAAGAAAGAGAGAATGAATGATTTACCGTTAATAAAGAGAAAAAGAAAGAAAGAAATGATGGGAAGAACTATAAAAAAAGGTACCTACAAATGTGAACGAAGAACTGTAAAAACATAGAAGATGAAGAGAACCTACAAACGTGAAAGAGAACAAATACACCAACTTTGTTAATGCATAAAAGATGAAAAGAACTTACAGAGGTAAAAGAGACCAACTTTGTTTGGAAGACAAAGAGATTCATGAGTTGAACGTATTTCATTTATAAAAGTTAAAGACTTTAGAGAATAGTTCTTTATTAACAGTTCTCTAATATATGACTTTAGAGAGCAGTTTAACGTTAACCGCTCTCTAAATGTATTGTTACAAAGCGATTTTTACTAACCGTTATCTAAGTTAGTGCTTCAAAAGCTTATTTCTGGCATAGTGAAATTTGATCTAGTTTAATAAGTGGTCATAACGTGTGTGCGTGTGCATGTGAACTTTTTTTTGTTTGTTTTGCTGATTGTGTGAGTGAACTTTTATGAGCTCTTGTTAATTTATTGAATAAATTTTAATATAATTAATTAAAATAATTTATTTTTAACTTATTTTAATACATTTTATAATTAATTATTGCTTTAACAACTTCAAGTCATGATCATACTGGGACCTTTATCTTACACCCTTTACAGCAATTATGTTTTCGTTCCGTACCATCAAAGACCCATATACTTGTTTTCTTTATCATTGAGACGCCCAAACAAAACCAAATATGTAAACAATATAACAAAATACTCTGAAATTGTTAGGTTGTTTTGACATTCTTCATCATATTTTTCTTACACATACATGGAGGAGGGGATGGCACATTTGGACATTTGATGAATAAATAAGGAGTGATTAAGAGTGCAATTAGCAACATACACCCCAAAAAACAAAGTGGGAATGGTAGTTGAAAATGTGGGTGCAGGTGGGTGAGTCCAGAAAGCCTAAAATAACATATCAAAAGCAAAAGCAAAAGCAAATATTATTCCCAAGGGTCAATCACAAGGTCCACCACCATACCTACAACGATGGAACACCAAAACAAAATGGGGAAAGGTACAAGCCAACATCTTCATATCCTTTTATTACAAAACACAATATGAATATACCACATATCCGTTACTAGGCAAACAAAAAGATTGAATTATATATTATGAAAATCAATAGAATTACGAAGTGGAAATATATCCAATGCTCAAAAACTTTACATCAAGTTGAAATCAATCAAATACAGTGCATGGACCACATACAATTTCCCTGGGAAAAATGTTGAAAGAGTTCCAAAACAAAATTTTCCTTCCCAGGAATGGATTAGAAAGAACTTCTTGTCACATGTTGAATTGAAGAGCATATAGTTGTGCCTTTCTATACAATTACATCATCTCTTGGTACTGCAGCAACTGCATGCGGCTTTGCATTCTTAGCTGTTCATAGAACCTTCTGATGAAATCCTCAGCTTGATCATCAACTTGACCATTTCCACTCTCTTCAATTTCATCCTCAGATGAGTAATTGGATATCCTCACAGAGAAGGGTGAGAGGAGAGGGCTCTTTCTCTCTCCAGAAGCAAAATCAGAAGCATCAAACCTAAGGTTGAAGGTGTATTCAGGTGTCATAGGAACCAAAACCACTGGCCTAGGCTCTTCTTCCTCTTCAATAACCTCAGGAGAGTTCATGCAAGGGAAGTTGAAATGGTGCTTTCGCTTTGGCATGTGGTAAAAAACAGGATTTGGACTGTTACTACAAGAGAATTCATATTCCTGTATGCCATAGCCACCACGTGCCAAACTCTTTGAATTGTGATGATGATGAGCTGACATGAAATTGCTCACAGATTTTCTAAGCAATTTCCCTTTCTTCATCATCAAATTCATGTCCATAATAAGCTTCCTCTTTGACACCAAACCTTTCCTGATCATGAAGAAGGTGATCCTCAACACATTCCATAGCTTCTTTGCTATAACTGGAGAGTGTGCCTCCATATCATAGATTTTACAAACAATATACCACCTCGAGATAGAAAGAGAATAAAATTCAAGAGATTTTTGTTAATCAAAGATTGCGTTTGGGTTTTCTTACTTTCTGCGAGGCTTAACAAACCTCGCAGAAACAAGAAAACCCGATGAGAGAAGATGGAAGGAGAAGAGATGAGGGTTATATAGAGGGAAGAGAACATGATGAAGTGCTGTAGAAGGGTTACGAATGAAAGAGTGGGTTTTCAAAATGGACCCAACAACCGCTCCTCGTTGTATTCCACTCCACACGATATTTGAAGAAAAGAAAACACAGAAAGCAACCATCCGTTTCAAAAATATAATCTAAATAAACGACCAATGAGATATATAATAACGGAACAATGTAAGAAAATGTTTTGTTTAACAATAAAGAACTAATAATTGTGGTTCTCTCTTCTCTCTCATTTTAAAAGTGTGATTTTTTAATAAACGTGTATATAAAAATTAAAAATAATTATATACAATATTAAATATAATTGATTTAATTATATTTTTTTATCCATCTAATTTAGTATATTTGCAGTTTTTATCTCTTTAACTTATATGAACTAATTAAGTCTCTTCGAAAACACAATATTTTCATGTTTATTTTTGTTATCTCAAAATTTTATTAATTGAATTATGAGGATTATTTTAAACTTCTCTTCAAAACACACTAATTCAAGCATAAAATTTGAGTTGATAAAGAGTTTCTTCTTTAAACTATAATCTATAAGTAGAATAAAATTTATATGATTTTAAAAGTTAAAATATTAAAATCTTGAAAATAAATTAAATTAAATAGAAAAATACAATCTAAGTCAATATAATAATATTATTAGATTTTAATATGTTTTAATGTGTTAAGTAGTATAGTTGATGAGTTAAATTTAAATATACCAACACCAGAGCGTTGTTAACTAAAAGGAAAAAAGGGACTATTTTATTAGGCTATATAATACCCTGGTTTTGGTCGGTTTCGGAAAAAAAAAGGGATTCAACGGTTCAAATATGATCTGGCTTGAAGACTCAAATAGACAATGGGGCCCCAACGTTAAAATTTTATTATTTATTTATTAGCCAAAATGAAAAATGCTTGATTCATATATTAGCCATGAAACTCCATCGGAGCCTTCTACTGGGAACACCTATACCCTTTTTTTAGTTTATTATTTACATGGTTCCCTACGAATGCATTCCTTTCTTTTGGGGATTAGCAATGGAAGGTTCAAAAGGGGTTTTTGCACCTTTAATTTAGTTCCAAATATCCTTGTGGCAACAAAGAAACTTGGTACCCAATTCAAGGATAACTTAGCTTGCTTGTCCTCCATAACATGGTAATTAAATAATCCTCATTCTAAGAAAGAAGGGTGTAAATCCTCTGGTAGGTAAGCAAGGTTTGGAAGAGAGAATTTAAATTTTTATTTCTGATCCAGGGGCAGGTAAAAGGCATCTTGTGGAGCCTAGAATAAATCCTAACTTAGAATTGTTGTCGAATCAAATGTGGTTACATATATTGCTTTTGAATAAAAGGAGCAAAAGTTGAAAAAAAATTAATATTTAACAGTCAAAGTCAACTTTATATTTAATATTCAAAAAATTTATTTGACAGGTAGTGTTGAACCGCTCTCAGATCTATACTTCTAAGAGCGGTTCTCTATTAACCGCTATCTAAAGTTATACATTAGAAAGCAGTTAATAAAGAATCGTTCTCTAAAGTCATACATTAGAGATTACTTTAGAGAGCAGTTAATAAAGAACTGCACACTCTATTATTACATTATTTTCGAAAACCACTTTAGATCTATTAGTCCATAATTCATCAAGAGCTATACCAAACAGAACTTGCCATGGGACTTGGTAAGTATAAGTAGTGCATCTGAGGTTATGCTTCATCCACTCCTGTAAAACCAGCCTAAAGAAGTTATACCTCCACGAGGAGGGAAGCAAATTCATCCACACCCTTCGAGCATATTTGCAATTGTGAAAAATATGAAGGACCGATTCAACCTTCACCTTACAAATAGGACATCTATGATCATTAGTTACATGCCTTACAAATCATAGCTTGGCAAGGCTCTAACCAGCACATGCCATCGAAGAAAACGACTTTTCTACATCCCAAGCCACCTCTACACCAGATCAAAATTAGGGGAATTTGGTGATACTATACCTCCAGTAATCAACTTATATGCCAATGTTATGGTAAAGGCCCCATCCTTCTCACAACCCTAACACACCTTGTCATTCATGTCTGATACTGGAGGCTTATGTTCCATGATCAAAGATACCTCAATAGAAGTAAGGATTGCCATAAGGTGATTGATATCTCATCCTGATGGGACATTTTTATTGTGTAATTACATATCATTATGGCCCTAATTACTGTCACATTTAGGCTTAATTTTGTGGTAGTTTAATGTTTGTTAAATGTCATTTAAATTGTGGACTTAATTGCAAAACTAATTAAATTTCATGTTTATTGGCAGTTTGACCTTTGCTCAGTGCTAAGGACATATCTGGAGCTACAGGACTCCAAATCGAGCGATTCCAAGTGCGTTGTAAAGCTAAGAGGCAAAGATATAAATGTCTCTCTCACGTGCATCATCCAAATCCAACTGGAAGATGGACAAATTTGAGGTCAAAAAATCACCACGGAATCTGCCCCGCACATGTCCGAATTTGGGTTTTGTTTTGTTATATTTTATTTTTAGTTTTGGCCCAATTTGGAATGCTTCTAGAAGATCCAATGAGTGGGTCCAGATTTTGAGGGGGGAATAACCCTAATTGAAAAAAGCGCCAGCGCAGCAACATTTTTTTTGGCACACTCACTAGATATTTTTCTTACGTAACTTCTCTCTGAGAATAGATAGCTCTCGGATTCTTCTTGTTTTTCTTGGATAATTTTCAAATTTTATTTCTAATTCCAATTCAAATTCTCCAATTTATGCTCGCGTAACTCTTCTTCCTCCTTCAATTTATGCTTTAAATATTTTCATTTTTTTAGATTGGGTGTTGTTCTTTGTTCTTGGTTCCATTTTCGGTTTTTGCTCCCTTCAAATCTTTGAATCTTGCTGTTTAATCATTTGCTTGTTGATTACAGTTTTGGGTTATATTGCTGTTTTGATCTCTTGGTTATAAATTCTAGTTTTTGAATTTGTAAGTTTACATTTTGTTTATATTTCGGTTCTAATTGATTAGCTATGGAGTAGATTTTGAGTTGATTCACTAATTGGATTATGAATTGTATGCCCGGATTGTATCTTGTTTTGCTTCACCAATTATTGTTGTTAATCTCTTGATTTAATGCTTAATTGATTTTCTAAATCTTGCTTAATGAATCAGAATGTTATTTCGGTTGGATTCATGGTGAAATTGAATTCACAATTATGCTTAGTAAATGTTGTTTTGGTAAAACCATGTATTAAACCCAGGATTAGCTTATGCAATGTTTAATTGTAATTTCTCAATTTAATTCTCGCTTAGTGGATTAAGTTGAGGAGCAAGATTAGTGAATGAAATTAATTAATGTCAATCTGGTGCAAGCAATTCGTAATCTTGTTAAGTGAATCAATATCTTGCATTTTTAGATTTGTTAGTGTTTCATTCTGTTTTGCCAACAACTGTGTGATTTGAATTTTGTTTGAGTTTTGTTTAAAATTTTTTATAAAACCCCCCATGTTTGCTGTTTTTAATTTTGGTTTGTTGAATCTTTGACTAAATCTGTTGTTCCTTGGGAGACGATCTAGGTCGACCCCTAGCTGCATTTAATTGCAATATTTTTTACTGAATACGGCAATCATCACATCCCCTTTCATTGTCTATCATATCCTTAACCTTTAGAGAAAAAGAGGTTTCAATATGGGAAAAAAGGCTTTATATAGAGAAGAATATATGGTCCAGGAAGCCATCATGAGTTTAGAAGGTTTACATTTGCTTCATCTCCAACTTCCCAAACCAAATTATGATTAACCTTGTTCCAAACCCTAACCACCTCGCACCAAGCATTAGACATATTCAGCCTTTCTTTAACAACTAGAATCAAATCTTCGCCACAAGCGTACTTAGAGCGTAACACCTGAACCCAAAGAGTATCTTTATTAGTAAGTATTTCTATGTGATTTTTATCATACAAGCCCCATTCATCACACAAGTTGATCTGATACCAAGCCCCCCAATTATGTTTTGGCTAACAAACGTTGTGCCATCCAATACAATGAAAACGTTAACCAGAATTTGAGCCCCTCACAAAAAGCTTCGACATATTCTACTCAGAGGGAATTGCATTGAAGGTGTGGGAAATGAGGACGGTAGAAATACCTTGGAGAAGAGAGAGTGGTGGTGACACCAATAGTGAGTGTGGGTGCACCATAGGCCACATACTCTTCTCCTGACAAGACTTCTGACCACTACCTTTGTTGAGCGACCTGTGACTGCCCACGTGGTATCCGTGAGATGGGGGTAACAGGCGACTGTTTATGATGTGTAATTGTGATCCCAGTGCCACAATTAGCGTAACTAGGTGCGGTAAGCGCACGTGTATGAAATGTTGGTGCAATTAGTGCACCAGTTGTGTTTTGCATTGGAATGGATGATGAATGATGATTGAGATTGAGATGCTTGTATTATAGATGGACGATTTCAAATATGTTAGTAAATGTGTAGAATTGGAGGTGAGTTGATGAATCCATATTTTTACTAGTATTTTCCTATAGTTTTAATCCATTTGATAAAGAAAATATGTTGGAAAAAGCAGAAAAACTCATAAAAATAGAATAGTTAAGGTTTTCTTTTAGATACATTGTTATTTTAGCATTTATGAATTTTTTATGTAGAAATCAATCATGTTTTTGTCAGAAAATCTGAGCAAAGTTCATAAAGATGGAAGATCAATGGAAGGATAGAAGACAGTAGCAAAATATGGACTCAAGGAACAAGATTTAATGGAGTTTGAGCTGGGCGTGATCACTTTCGCTGGCAAAAGTGATTGTTCCAGAGCTTGGAAATGA